GCTTTAAATCTGATTTTTGTTCAAACAGCCGAGACAAACTGGAATATCGTGAAGGCTTGAAGAGAGGAGGCGAAATATTAGAAAGAGAGGAGAAAAGACAAGAAGAGGAAAGAGGGGGAGAGAAGGCAGCCCTGTAATTAAAGGGTATATATGTGAGATTTTAACATTAATATAGCAAACAACTGTTTGCTGTGTAAAGATATAGTGGATTCATGTTGTCCTGACATCACACTCCCTTTGCCTGTGTTGCTATCCTCTCTGTGTGTGTTTACCAATCGGGTCCAGCTGTGTGTAGATGTATGTGAGTCCCTCTGTTTCCAACAGAGTAGAGACATAAACTGTTGTTTTTCTCATCGGCATCGGTTGATAAGAGGATTTATTGTGATCAAACCGGAGTTGGTGATTGTTGGAAGAGTGGGAATACTAACAAAGACGGTTTCTGTGAGTTTTATTTTGTTTCTGTGGACTTTACGAAGAAGGTACGATGGTACAATGTGAGTTAAAATGACCGTTTTTGTCTCTGGAGTCTGGTGGTGAGCGATAACGATATTATGGCTGTTTCTGGTTAAACTAAAGGTCTATCTCCACATTTCCTTAATATTGTCAGAAACTTTGACTAACAATCTTAGCATGTCAGTGGCAAAAACAACAACTTTTAGTGGACGTACTTTGACGGGTGCGTTTGATTAGCTAATGTTGCCGCCATTGTAGTTTGTTTTTGTGGACATTTTCACAGCAAACTTGTTGAATTACGTCTTTATTTCAACCGTTGTTGGAAAAACTAACAAAGACATTTTGGTGAGTTTCATTTTATTTCATTCCTGTGTGTTTTGTTGATTATCTGCCAGGTAAAATTACTGGTTTTGTCTTTGGAGTTTGGTGTGCCATAGCGCCCATTTGTTATAGTCTGAGATGCTGCTGCTCTACTGCAACATCTAGTAGTAGTTCTTTTTTTTTTATATAACCTTTAAGCAAAAGTATAGAAGTGAGCACAGAGAATAGACACAATAATATAAAATCTCAATATATACTTTTATAGCTTACAGATGTTGCTGTGTTTGTGTGTGCTGAAGTTTAAAACAGTCGAGTAGACTGAATGAATGAAAAAGACTCTGGAAGATGATGTAAAACTGAACCACAAGCCAAAGTTTCTACAAGCAGAATCATGTTTCCGCTGTGTTTTCTGACGTGAAACTTAAGATCTACAACAACACAACATGCAACATGAAAAAAAAAACCCTGGTGTTACTCAGCAAAGACCGCGGGTCAGAACAGATGTGACAGTAACACTGCAACAGATGGACTCTGAGCTCTACCAGACCAACAACATCCAGCCTCTGAGCCTGTCACCGGGGCCGGTAAACCTGGAGAACCAGCATCCCTGCCCTGCCTGTGTGTGTGTGTGACTTTTTATCCACTAAGCCAGGTGCTCACCTGTGTCTGAGAACTCAAATCAAACAGCATTTTCCCACACCTAGCAGCTCCAACAAACAAACAACATCAACAACCAGCTGTTTGTTTGCTCCTGAATGTCATGGCAACCGCTCCAAACTCCAAACTTTTCAGTTATATTTCAAGCAGCTGGCACAAGTCGAGGTATTGCATCTGAATTAGAAAAGTTTGATACTTTTTTTAATGTTAACATCCACAGTGTTCTGTAGTCCTTTAAACAGACTGTACAGAAACATCTCCCACATGTTTTCCAGTGGAACAACCAATAGGAGGAATTCTGTAAATATTCTAATAAAGCAAGCACACAGGTTCAGACACCTTTCCTACCCTAAAGGAGCTTAAACGAGAAACCAAACCTTCATTTTACATTCTCATTTAAAGCCTTAGAAAAACCCATAGCACAACTCCAAATGATCAATCCCAGCTGTTATATTAAACCTACCTGACTGGATGAAGAACCGGTTATTCCCAACTGTCACTCTGAGTCCTCCACACCACAGTGGCTCAGCGGAGTCATATCCAACACTGCTGGGGAGCTCCTCTGCTCGCCTTTCTTTCTGTGTTAATGTGTGTGTGTGTGTGTGTGTGTGCGTGTGTGTCAGTGGGTTTGGCAGCTGCCTGTTCGGTCCTGATAGCATTCAGTCGTGCAGCAGCAGCTCCAGAGGGTTTCACAGCGACGTCAGAGGCTGGAAGCACAACAGTGAATAAAGTTCCCTCCTGTTTTCTTCTCTCAGCTCTCCTCCTCACATCTCCTCCTTTCTCCTTCTCTGCCACACACTGCCTCTCCTCTCCTCTCCTCTCCTCTCTCCCTCTGCTTCTTCTCCACTCCCTCTTTTGTGTTTCTCTCCTCCTCTTTCAACACTTCCCACTCAGACAATCTGCTCTTTTCTGTTTGTCAGCTTCAATTAATGCACCTAAGAATCACCTCCTCCTTCCTCCCTGCTCCTGCTGATTCCTTTCTGGTCTCAACACTCCTTCTCCTGTCTGCTCTGCTTCTCCTCATCTGTCTCCACTTCTTTCTCAACTCTTTTTTTTCTCACGTTCTGCCTTCGTCTCTCCCTCCCTCAGCGCCCTCAACACTTGTCATTCTCAATTTCTTATCTGTATCTCTAACTCTTCATGGCTCTCCTCCTTCACCCTCCACTCCTCCTTTACTCCCACTCCTCTCTTCTCTTTCTTTTATTCTGTCCATTGCCTCTCTGTCATCTCTGATCTGTCATTTTCCTTCTTTCCTTCCATGTGACTCTTCTTTCTGTGCTCTCTCTTTTCCTCTGCTAAATCAAATGTCTCTCTTTCTCTCTCTTCTCCCGTGGGGACACTTTCTGTTTCTCCCCCCTTCCTCAGTTTCCCAACAACTGTCCTCCAGTCTTCTCAGACTCCTCTTTCATCTTCACTTTCCACTCCTGCCCTTCCACTCTACTTTCTTTCTCTATGTTCTTGCTTTTTCCCTTTCTTCTGCATTTCAGAGTAAATGTAAATGTTTCAGAAACTTTGTTCTTCTACTTTCCTTCTTTCTTTTTCTTCCCCTCCCCCCCTGCTCCGCTTGGCGAGTATCATGTTTGGCAGATTGGCTTCAAACTAAAAAACATGGTTCCAGCACAGACCACATACATCACTAACACTGCTGCTTTATGTCATGATTGATGGCCATGCCTTTGTGAAAATAAACACTGCACACTGAAAGTAGACTCATCACATCTGTATGTTAGAATCTATATGGTTGGAGGAGCTTCGTAGCCATGAGAGGGTGTAAACCTCGAAATCAAGCGAATAAAAGAAAGAAACGGGAGCATTAAAACATTAAAGCTGTTGTTTAGGTGGAGACGTTCATATATTTAAATATATGCGGGAAAAAGTAATCATTAGTTCGGTGGTATAATCCTGTCAGTAATTAATAGGGAACCAAACATACACATGTAAACAAACATTTAAAGGATCATTTCACCCTAATTTAAAGGTCCAATGTGTAGGATTTAGCAGCATCTAGCTGTGTAGTTGGAGATTGCAACTAATTGGCTTACCCCTCCATTTTCCAAGCCTAAAGGAAAAACTACGGTGGCCACGAAACGCCCAAAAAACTACTGTTCAACATGGCGGCCACGGGGTCTGTAGATAGAAACAGCTCAATCAAAGGTAACAAAAACACAAGGATTCTTGTTTTCAGGTGATTATACACTAATGAAAATACATGTAATACTCCCTTTATGCCAGTAGACCCTCATAAATGTTACACACTGGACCTTTTAAGAACACTTGTAGTATCTGCCATGTAGGTAGTTTTTATTTGCTCGGGTCTTCAGCTGTCCCTCTGAAATTTCTGCCATCAACCCAAAACAATTTGGGTCGGTTTGTCTGTCCCGGACTGCTGTGTAAACATGGCGTTTCAAATAAATGCTCATTGTAAGGTAACAAAAACGCAACAATTCTTATTTTCAGGTGATTACACACCTATTAAAAACATACCTATGAATATTATATTCCATTTCTACTAATAGATCCTACTAAATGTTACACACTGGACCTTTAAAGATTACAGGAGACAACAAAGTCCAGTAAACATACTGGACAGGTCTTCATGGTGTATGCAGTTATAAATCAGTTTGTGTGAGCTCTGTTTACTGTCACGTTCTGTTTGTCGTTGTTTTGTTGTTTTTGAGTGTTTTTCAGCCATTATCATGCCCACATCAGAGACTCACAGAGTCATCAGACAGAAATGCTTGTGAGCATAAAGTATGCAGCGTTGTTAAAAGCAGCTCCGTCTACAAGCTTTCCCATGATGCCCTGTGAAAAACCTCATAAGACTGTGTAGCCTGACTGAGTCCTTGAACTTGCAATTAGTCTCAAAGTTGTTGTGTCCCAATCAGCCTGTTGGGAGAAACTGTGATGTGGGGACGTTGACACCAGTTTTAAGGTCCATGTGGGACGGCTAAATGTAGCCGTCCTTTAACGAGCTGAGGTTGTGTTTAAGGTCCCTTTTGTTTGGTTTGCTTGGTAATTAGCAGGATAATAAACTCTGGTGCAAACGGGACAGAGGATCAAGTGATTAGCTTGTGGTGTGGATCCAGGAATGATTTAGTTTGTCTGTGTTTACATATAAATATACATATGCTACACAGACAAAAATATGTGGACACGCAAACAAAGTAGGTAGGAAGTTGAATATTACAAAACCATGGACGTTAATCAGCCACTACAACAGCATCCCCTCTTCTGATTCCAGGCTTTTACTTTGAGTGGGAGCTGTTGTATAATTTTATTCTAGTGTCTTTGTTGGAGCATCATCTGAAGGTACTGTTTTCATTATACTGCAGGTATATAGGCACAATTGATCTAACTGACAGTTAATATTGTCAGTCCTGTTTTCTTGTAACTCTTCTAACTATTAATTAATCTTTACCGTAGCCTCTTTCTAACCTGCTCGAACTCTGTTTATGGAAGCTCATCTTTTTTTAAGTTTTCCTCGTTATGATAGAATTTTTTGTGTTTCAACCAAAATTGTTTCCACAGTTTCACAGTTACGTCCAGTAAAAGCCTCAAAGACCAAAGATTGCTGTTTTCAACCTTTTTTGGTGTTAGTGTGTTTAGCTCACTGAGATTTAAACCTGATTGTTACACAGTGAACATTTGAACATTTCACATCAAGTTATTTGATCTGTGCTGAGAAATGTTTGCAATCAGATGCAGTTTTAAAGGAAAATTCCTTGTAGTTATTAAAACTTTCCATCAGTTATGATAACATTGTACATTGTAAGTTATGTGATAATTAGGTTTGCTGTTCTTAGTTTCCTTGTCTAACTTAATATTGTAAAGCTTTTTGGTTTAAAACTATCAGTTCTTGGATGTCACAGCATACATTTTTTGGAAAATAGTCGACACAATGACCATAACTTTGATGAAAAATAAACAACTTGAGTGGGTTGAAATAAATATGTCAAGAAGGTTTGAAGTGTATTGACTGTAATACAACAGTAAAATGACCAGTAACCTTTAACCTTAACAGTATTCAGTTAATAATGTAAATATAAATGATTTATGGTTAATCGGCTACAACATGCGAAGCTACAATAATAATATGATATGAATGTTTCTCACATGATTCAGTGACAGAATGGATGTGTTTGTCCGTCAGCTGCCTGTGTTTGATATATATGTAGGATCTGATGCAATAGATGAGACA